GCGGGCAGGTGGGTTGCGGGCAGGTGGGTTGCGGGCAGGTGGGTTGCGGGCAGGTGGGTTGCGGGCAGCTGGGTTGCGGGCAGCTGGGTTGCAAGGCGATGGGTAGCGAGAATGTGGATTGGAGGGTGGGAGGTGGCGGGTGAAGGCAGTGCTGAGTTGTGGGAAGCACGGAGGAGGGCAGCGGGGCAGTGAGTAGCGAGAATGCGGGTTGGAGGGCTGAAGAGTGGTGGCGCGTGGGGAGCGGGCAAAGGTAGCAGGGCTGGAGAGTTGGTGACGGGCGGCCAGCGGTGGTGGTAGGCGGTAGACGACGGGCAGCTGTTGGCGTTAAGCGACGGAGAGTGGAGGGAAATACGGCCTTGTGGGGATTCCTCTAGCATCGCCCACGAGGTTTTTGCTCCTGACTTGCTTTGTGCCACCCACAGCACATTGTAAGGACTTCTAGAGTGTCACGTGACGAAGTTTCTTTTTATGTAGTGCAGAAACTCACAAACAAGGTCGTCTGATTAACATTAGTTTATTCGAATTATGAGGCGTTGAAAGTTCGAAGTATACAATACGTGAAGTTTCTTCTGTAAAAATTATCTGTAAACGAGTGACAAGTAAAGGAAGTTGTAAGAAAATAATATGCGCACATCGGATCTTATCGTTTTCCATATAATAAACATTTGGTATACACGTATTAAAGCATCGCGCTATTTCATCCACGTCGTCTTGTAACCATGTTCGAGGAGCAGTGCACTCAGGACACGACTACACGACACAATTATTGGGAACTCTATTCTTTGAATATCGGAAATGAATCAAATTACTAGCCTGTGTGTTTTGATAACTGCATAGCATGATTCCGATAGTCTTTTAGAATCAGTATTAGGTTTCTATGAGTAATTTTGCAAGTAGACCGGTGACTCATACGTTAAATAACATGAATAATATTTTGAGTCAGTGAAGTGACAACAGTGATGTTTTGATAGTAATGAAATATGATAGCATACCAATTCTCTGGTATAAGGTATCTTCTGGAAAACTTGTAAAGCATTGAAAGGCTTAATATACTTTCCTGAGATACAAGCTAATCTCTCATAAAGCGTAATTATTGTCTTGTTACGAATAAACAGTTCCACACTTACAAGCACTGAACCAACCAAAAGTTGTCTGTAGTCTACAAAAACATTCATCCCTCTATTTCTCAAGAGGAAATATACCAAGATCTAAAAGCTAAACATTCGCCCCTCACTAGTGTTACCAGATTACACTATAACAATTCACCAATCCCAGTGGTTATCCCAGTGGTCCCCGCTGAATATTTGGGAGAGCAGAATATTTTGAAATAATTTTCAAAACAAACGTAATATGTAATCTAAAATAAAAACTGAAAGAAGGCGTAAAGTTAAGGGACCAATACAGTGTCTCCGATGTTTGGTTTTCGGGCATTCTAGAAACAACTGTACCCATCTAATTTCTGGTACATATTGTTCTAAAAATCATTATTCGGCCTCATGCCCTCGATGGACGACCCTCCGAAATGTAAAAACTGCGACGGGGCGCACAGAGCTGGTATTCAAACAAACGAATGCTCATATTTTTAAACAATTTTGGAAAGTGAATCAAAAGATTTCCACCAAGCACCACTAAAGTCGAGATCTAACCATCAATCCTCTCCCCTAATACCTCTCATCTCTTTCCCAACTTATGTAACACGACCCGCATAACAAACTTCACCTATGTATCGGCAACTAACCAGCAATCAAAGAACACCACTCGAAACCAATCAGGTAACAACTCCCAAAACTATCTACCCCATAATAACTCTTCTCAACACAGTTTCTTAAATTCTCCATTCGTACAAAATATCAACTTCAAATCTACACAATTAATATCATAACTCTATTATACCAGTCATTGTTCAAAATAAACAAGAAGCCATAGCCTCCTATATTAGCATTGCCCATGCCGCACCCTGAATTCAATCATTCATTAATTTTGATGAATTGAAATTCATCTAGCATCAGCAATAAAAAATAGAACTTCAGTAATTTTTTACAACTACAAGCCAACAACATAGACATCGCTTGCGTCACTGAATCACATCTAAAACCTTCTTCTACGTTTTATTGTCCAGGATTCAACATAGACAAGATAGAATATACTCACCAGGCGGCGGCTTCAAAACAACTATCCCATATCCCCAAATAAATCAAATGCCTATCACTGGGCTTAAAATAACGGTAATTTCTCTCCCCTGCATAAATCTAACTGTAATTGCAGCTTATAAACCACCCAATTTAAAGTCTAATTTCGCCAGCTTAAATAACGTATCACACCTCAGTCACCCACTATACTCTTAGGTGATCTCAATGCTGAACACAATCACATACGTACTAACAGATTAAGATTAATATCTCCCCCTGAACCCACATACAATCCTCGTGACCTAAACAAGCTTCCCGATATTTTAGATGTAGGAATAACGAACTTAAAAGCCCAGTTTTACTCAACTCCTCACATCGAGGTCGACTCGGACCACTTTCCGGCCATCATTTCCACTAATGAGACCCTCCCCCAACCTTCGCCTAAACCAGTATAACTTAAATTAGGTCAAATTTAAGAAAATAATTCAATCCCAAACACCTAAATTTAAAATACTGATCACTGCTTCTCAAATAGATCAAACAATAATAAACTTAAACAATCTAATAACAAAAACTGTAAACACACCAAAACCCAAAAATCCCACCACACTACGTAAAAACGCACCCATTAAACTGCCCAAAAGCTT